AATAGCATGTAGACAAAGCAGAAAGCAAAAACACTCTGAAAATGAATGTTCTTGATCCCTAGTTTTCATAGTGTGCTTTCTTTCATATTGTTTTCTTTGTTCTACATATTCAGTATCCAGATGTCCTCTGGTGAGCTGCATGTTTACAAAAATCCTGTGGCCTGCCAACATCACGGAGGATCTTAACACAGCCTGAAGCTTGTCAAGCGTCCAGTCTGCTACAGATTGCAGGCCTGCTTGTGAGAGTAATGAGACTTGCTCTGCCACAGAGATTTCCTCAAAGACCACTGGATTAGGAATTCATAGGAGATGCTGCTTCTGCAAGACTGCAGCCCCCTTTTCTCTGCAAATCAATTCTAATTTTGCACTTCATGTCACTATCCTGCTCGTGACTCTTTCATTCAGGCTTACTTGCTGTTTCACATTTTAACAATGTTACTCTGGTAAACCGGCTAGCAACCTCCTTGGTTATCAAGACACAGGATGGCATGCGATTAAGCAAGAGTTTCCAGAGTACCAGTCTATGCGGCAGACCTCCTCAAATCAGTGAGTGTGGAGCTCTGTAGTTTTGTTGAGCTGTACATTCCCTGTCTTATAGGGAATTAAAAAGTTTTTGTTCTTGAAAAACCCCTACCTTCTCCTATGGATGTCTCGCAGCATTCTATCAGTGTATAGCATTTTTTTTTCTTGGCTTTCGCATCAGTTGTCAGATTGCAAATATCAGCGAGTGAGAGCACATTATTGCAGCAGAGAAATTGCCTGAGGCAACATATTAAATCGGGGTCACAGGCTACCTTTCCCCAGGGGTCCTTGTCAAATTTTGGTTTTGATGTTACAAGTATGTTTCAGGTGAGGGTGAAATGAACGTGAAGAATGCTTCACCAGAATGAGAAATGACTATGATTAGAGTCTGACTTGATCAGTAAATTGGCTCTGACTTTGGAAAAACAACGTCACAGTTCTGATTAGTATTTTTGGCAGAGTATAGATTTACAGATCAGTAAATTGAATAGATTAATAGAAGATGAAATACTTTGCATTAAAATTACTTTAGATCTTGAGTCATGAAGACAAACACACATCTTCCAAAATTTAATCAAATCATTGTAGTTCATACTTTTCATCAGCCAATGAAGTTTGAAGCCAGCAGGCACTTAAATATTCGAGCAGTCCATGCAACCCATGGGAATACATGGACTCTGTCAGCCTTACCTCAAAGCCTCACTGTGAGTCTGATTGTGCCAAAGAAATTGTGATTTTCAGAGAGTCCTAATACTGCACTGTGTCCTCTGGCTACCATTTACCTCCCCAAACACAGAAGCCAGTAATTGCCTTACCATATTTGTAGGATGAAAGGATATGGGGGCACTGTTTGGAGTGACACTGGTGTAAAAGGAGCTGCTCAGAGTAGCCCTGAAAAGGGCAGATGTGCCTGCTATCAAACGGTGGAATGTATCTATCAACCCCATAATCACAAAATTGTCCTCAACAAAGGCAACCAGTGCTTTTTTGTCATTTCATGTATGTTATGAGTAGCCGAGTAGAAAATTGCCTGGCATGGGCTCATGGTTATGTACCTGCTTCTGTATCACCTCTGCTCTATTATTTTGTTTGCTGAAGCCCATTTCTGGGCCTCTGACTCACCAGAGTTCATCAGATTTTCTGGATGGAAGCTTTTTCCACAGTAGCACTAATCACTCCTACTTTCTCATGCTACAGTAATGCAATACTAAACAGACAGGTGGTAAATCTCAAAGTGGATGTGATTGGAACAAAACAGAGAGCGAAGGGACTGCAAATCAAGACATTGTTTCAAAAAACCCCAGCCCATTAAAGTTAGATTTCCTTTTCTCATATTATTACCTTTTTTGGATTGTTGAGCAAATTCAAGGCAAAATAAATTCTTACAAAGCTTATCACATCCAAGACAGTGCTGTAAAATATCACCTAAAGCTTAGTGAAAATAGCTGAACAAATTCTCACGCTGACCCAGGTGAAGATGACACTGTCTGCACCCAGCAGGTGGGTAAACCAGTGACCTTTGTCAAAGGATGAGATTTCCTCGACAAGAATAAGCGAACAGCGAGCATGCACTCTGTTTCAAATGCTTTGTCTCAGGAATACCTAATGCACTGCTTTGCTGGAGAGAGGCCAGATAATAAAGCTCAGTCAGGATCAGTGAAGCCGGTCTCCACTGACTCTGCTCTCATTGTTAGATGCCTCACTCCCTGGGAGTCGCTCTACGTTATCAGTGATCATCAAAGGCACTGTCAGGGAAGTGTGGAACTGGGGCTTCCACGGGCTGTCCGAGACGCCAGACACATCCAAATGAGACAGGCTTATTAATTCTTCAAAAGCCACACAGCTTCCTTTTCCCCAAGACTCATTTTGGTACATTTAGAGATGATAAAAGCTCAGCCAGGGAGCTCTCCCGCCTCCTTTCACCGTCCCTCTTTCCTTCTCACGCGTACATCATGCATAATGCAATCACATGCATTCAGGTGATCCCACAAAGATATTACCTCTGGCTTTAAAATAGCTGTCATGTTTCAGTCTTTTGTAGGAATGGAAAAAAGAAGATTTCAGGGACAAAAATTCAGGGCTCAAAGTACACAGAGAAACCTGTGGGTTGCAGCTGCTGCTCTCTGCACCTAGATGCTATGTACTCTGTTTTTCATGGTTGAGCTCTGTGATAAATGTTTTTATGATATAACTGTATGCCAAGAGAACATGTATGCTCTGCATACATTCCCAGAGACAGAAAGCTTCTTCTGACAAGACAAAATTCATCTACAGAGCTGATGTGTAAAGGAGACAAAAATCACTAACTCTCGAAAATGAAGCACCTTCATTTTTCTCCTCAGTTAAATGGAATTTCAGACAGTGTGAGCTGTTTTAATGGAAGGGAAGAGTGGAGGACAAAGTCTTGAAATGTATTACTTTTTCTTTTGCATTTCTCCCTTTTGCTCCGCATTAGATTATATGTGAAACATCAAAAGCTTTAATTATCTTAATTACTCCTCCAGTACATTTGCAAGCGGAGAAGCTCCTTGAAACCAAAGGAAAATGCAAGTGTTTGAGGCAAAACTAGTCATTAAAATGCACATAATTTCATAATTTAAATGTTTTATGAGCACTTTAATTGGTGAATTCATGGTTATCAAGGGGACCTCCTTCATTACAATTCAAGAGGCTCCTTCATGGTGGCCATATTTTCACATAATGAATGTGATTCTTTTCCTCTCTCGGTGCAATAACTAATTGCACAGACCAGCTGATCGCTCCCACCCCACCTACACGGCGAAAATTAATATGGCATGTTTTTAATTCACTGTTGACAGCCTTAATATGAGAAGCCTCACTTCTGTTCACTTGTGACACTGAGAAAGTGGGTGTTCAAAACTTTACCCATCGTGGATCGTTAAAATCCACTCTTTATTAATCTGATTATGGCCATACCTCATCTATAAAGACTGTTTCCATTTCTGTGACTAACTTGACCATAATAAAATTGCAGTATACAGTAGAGCCAGACAGACACGAGTAGAGAAGGATGTTTTCCTTTATAGACTTTAGGCATTTCTGCCTCCATTAGCACTAGCATTAGCTAAAACCAAAAGCAAAGTTTTGGAGATAATTTAAAATATATAATAATATCATTAATAGGGCAGCACGGTGGCACAGTGGTTAGCGCCGTTGCCTCACAGCGAGAAGGGTCCGGGGTCGGGCCCCACCTGGGGCCTTTCTGTGTGGAGGTTGCCCTGCGATGGATTGGCGACCTGTCCAGGGTGTACCCCGCCTTCACCCGATTGCCGGCCGGGATTGGCTCCGGCCCCACCCGTGTCCCCCGTTCAGGGACTAAGCGGTAGAAAATGAATGAATCATTATAATAATAATAAAGTGTGCCTCGCTCTGAAACTATTTTTGTAAAAAAAGGGGGGGGTTAAGTGATTAAGCCAATTGTAACAGCTTTTATTAATTTCTTTGGTTAATTGACCAAATTAGCAGAATTTACAGTATATGTGTAGCATATAATTGGTGAGAAACCAGCTGATCATGATTTTGGCTGTTGATATGCTGCATATAGTCCAGTCAGTGACCACAAGAGCGCCAACTCTGGTGGGGGCCATCAGTCACACTTCTGACCACTGCTGAAATATCTGGATAACTTTAGCCAGCATTAGAAAATCCAGGATTACTTGTTTGATTTTGGGTCTGTTTAGCAGCGTACAAAGACCCCTCTGGTATATTCACTGGATTTTAGAGAACAGAACAAATTTTGTGCCTGGCAGCTGAGGAGCAGTTTGGTCAGTCCCCCTCAGTAGATCAACAGACCTATTAGTCTCCTAATTTAGGTAATGATGTAAAAAGGTATGATGTCGATACAGAAAACTTGTCACACTTTTTCCATTCTGTAAAGGATAAATATAAAAGGCGATAGAAGCCATGTAGTGACGCACAATGTCTTCATTGCTGACCTGGGAGTCTCCAAGTGAGCCTGGGTAACATGGAAACTCATTTTATTCTGCGCTGAGCCCTGCGGCCAGTACGGTGCAGGCCGGGGCTATGTACTGAACCCAGTGGCAAGCGCAGTGTGAGCTGCTTTCTATCTGAAAGCCAAGTAAGGCACACTTGGTGATTCAGGCTATTTGTCTGATTATATTTTTTCATAGTAAGGTTGTAATCCATGGCTAACAGAGGAAGGTGACCCAAATGTCTTGGTGTGTCTGTTTACATAAACAGCAACGAGATGCTGTGGCTGAATAACTGCATCATGTTCTTGGTATGTACTGAAGATATTCCAAGTGGAAAATGAATGCAAACCTTAAAAAGTTGCCCACACTGTCATTGCACTAAAAATAAAACTGGATGGATTTTCATGCATTTACATTTACTTGGATTTCTGTGTAGCCATTGCTAAAAGGTCGATGAACACGGGACAGCCTTTGTGTCGTGCCCTCTTGTCTCAGGAGTGCACTGGATAATGTGGTGGGTCTCACCCTGTGATGCAGGGGATCTCACTGCAGGGTCAGATGACACTCGTGTAGGTCGACTCTGTTGGGCACAAAGCCCAGTTGACTTGTTCAGCAGAGCTAAGCCAGCCGTGAGCGCCAGGGGTTTAGAGGTTATCATAAGCCGCTCTGGGCCAGCGCAGACCACTGAGTCTGAACAGCAGGGTTAGCTGTGGGGCTACAAGGACCCCAGCACTGAAAACAAAAACACATCAACAAGGCAAACGTGTTGGAATGGGAAAAAGGATTCTGGTTACTTCCAGCCTGACAAACAGGAAGGGATTTTATCCAAGTCACACAGCTTAAACATACAGGCAGATTTCAACAAGTACTGAGATCTGTTTCATAAGTGAATGCTCTTGTGTTACAATGCAGTTTAATCAAAAGTGCACACTCTGTTTGATCACTAGTAAAAAAAAAAAAGATCTAAAACTAGCACAGTGGAAATGTATTATTCCAAGACAGTGAGGTGTCCATTAACAGACATATTCTTCTGCTCAGACATTTAATCAACTGACGTGCTGACTGTTGTAGCGGAGACGCTGTTAATTTACATTCGTACACCATGTGTGCAACGACTAGGGAAAAAAAACTTTAAAAGTCTAGACCAAACACATGTGTAACTACATATTAATGGAGAGAGGCGGCACAGCTATACTGAGACATTTCTTTAGCCTCAAACATGCCAACAGCAGTGTCGGTTTCTTGGCTGAGTCCCTCAAGACTGCTGGCACAAAAGACACTTCAGTTTGAGGGGTGGGGGGCTCCTCCCGCAACGCCGCCTCTCTGCATGAAAAGATAATTGTCTCCTCCTTACCCAGAGAGATGGGTGCATTTCTGTGACCTATACTAGGTACTCGTCCCCTCTCTTGCACAGCCTGAGATGTCACAGTGGTTTGCCGTAATTACTTTTGCTGATAGAGGTGAGAGAGGACATTTGCATCAGATGAGGCGCCCAGCGGTTGGGTCTTCCCGAACGCCATATGCAGCTTTTAATGTCGCCATAATCTCTAAAGGTTAGCACTGGCAGCAGCACTGTATATCTCTACAACTAGCTGAATCAGTGGTTTGAAAATAGGTTTGACATTGAGTTTGAGTAAATGTGAGAACGTACACAGTCCCAAAAACATGCACACACACAAACACTCAATACCACACAAACACAAAGAAAGCACATCAGAAGAGAGATGTTGTGCAACTTCACTTGATCACATTCTTCTTCCTGTACACTGAGACTTGGGGCCAGATTGTCAAGGTGAAGTTGTGATTTCTTAACACAGCAGAAACACTTTGGCCTGTTGATATAAACATATAGTGTAGGTAGTGGGCACTCCTGATACCTTAGTTGTCAGAGGAGGTTTTACCTCTTAATATCTGCTGCCTACTGCTGTAACGTTGCTAGAGATTTTTTTTTAAAGTGTGCATTCCTGTGATTTCAGCAAGCCACCGGTGACCCTGCCTTATTATGTTGCCAGTTAATCGAGGCATGCTGTGTGAAAGAAATAGGAGAAAATTGCAGTTTACTTAGCATCATAAATAGACACAGACCTCAGTTTTATTCATTTGAGGCAGTGGTCCAGTTTGACAAATAGTGTATTGTTTGGCTCCAGTTCTGCATCAGGAAACTTGTTTCTTAGAAAATATGTTCATACACAGCAAATTTACAACTACAAATATGTTTTTGAAGTCAACCAGACTTATTTAGCATAATGAGGAAATGTTTTTAATTAATGTATCTGACAAGTTGCCAATGCTGCATGTTGCTGCTGAATTTATCAGTAAAATATTCATTAACAACGTGTTTCATTTGTTCCCAAAATATCAGATTCTGTAATGTAGTGGCCACAGCATTTATAAACATTTCTATGAATATGTTGTGTTAAGATCCTGGTCTGATTTCATGCAGATGCAGTGTTTAATTACATTTAATTTCTAGCCTAACCACATCGGAGTCAGGGTGCCAACTCCAGAGCACTACTACAGAGTAGCACTCTGTACACCTGGTGCCTGCACCAACATCTCCTTGCAGCTCCTGGGTGATAACACACATAAAGCACTTTGTTCTCTGAAAACACTGAATGATCTTTTACTGTTAGGCCACTAAAACAAAACAAACCCAACCACAGTAAAGTGGAGTTTCTCCATGATGAGTCACTGAAATTCTTGAGACCAATGACAGTTTGTAATTTTTGATTTCAAAAGCCATCAGTCCCACTTCTGACCGCTGTGATAGTGATGAAAAGATTGGAATCCTCAGATCTGGGGCATCTCTTCTGCTTGTTCTGCAATGAGAATCACTCTTAGCATGTTATCAAATGCCCAAACAACAAAAAGGACTGGGCAAAATTACTATAACCTGCATATCATTTTTCACTGAAGCTTTTGTTATTGTGTGTGTGTGTTTGTACATATCTGGCCAATTTTTGTAGATTTGAGCGATGGCTTTAGAAGAAAAGATTAAATATTTAATATTCAGCCTGATTACAAAGTGCACTAGTAAAGGTAGGCACAAAACAACCTTGGCTCATTTCAAAATGACATAGTTTTTTTGAGAGTTGCACAGTGAACCAGCACGTTCAGCCGTCATGCTAGTATCAAGAGTGGAAAAATATACAGCACTTACAAACCTCAGAAGACAACAATTTAGATCCTTCCTTGAACCCGCTTAACAGTTGTACGCTGAGGTGTATGGTCAGAAGGCCAGCAGCTCTCCGTCTTTGTGCCATTGTTTTCACCCCTCCCAGTCCCGTGCTCCAGGAAGACGATGCCACCTTCCATATTCTCTAAATCCCACACCTCCTGGAGCAGACGTGTCTGTTCATCACACTTTCTCCTTTCTCTTCTTGTTTTTGTTTTTCTGGGATTCTGGTGACATTTTCAAACTGCCAAATCCTTTGCCTTGAGACATTGTGCACGTGCCCACACCTCGCCGCCCTCAAAATACACACACATAAAAAGCAGATACACACAGTCCTTGCCTGGAGCCAGGCCCCTCTGTGCTTGTCTACCTCAGAGAAGCTGGAGCTTGGCAGAGAGAAGAGGCTCCGGTGGATTCTGTGCTCCGCCTGCCAGTGCTGCTCTTTTGATCTGCAGCCAGCTGATGACAGATCTACATTAAGCTCATAGTCTTCACTCATTCTCTGCTTCTCCTCTCCTCTTCCCTGACACTGGGGCAAAACGTTACTGTAAGTCCACAAGCATCGGTGGGAATCAGACCCCTGTGGGGTCGCCACTGTGAGTCTCCTCTCAGAAATACAGAATGCTGAGTGGGTTTCCAGCTTGGAGAAAAATCACATGTGGGTGTAAACCAAAGGTAGTGCCAAGCCAACAATTCAGGGGAAGCTTTACACATCTCTGTACCTCCAGACTTGTGAAATATTTATTTGGTGATGAAATGTTGCAAATAATTTTCTGTTGTGCCCAATTTCCATACTTATGTTTCTTCTTCTTCACTTTCAGTGTAAAATTGTTTAAACGGCCTTGCAAAAAAGAATAGTGTGAGGTAGTGAGGTGAGAAAGTAGCAGCGTGTCCCATTGTTCAGATTATCAGCTACACAACACAGGACTGTGAGGCTACATTTGCAAAACTATCGCTGCACTGTAGATGATGGATTTTTCTCTATGTAGATATTGAATGTGGGTAATGTATATAGACAGAATCCTTAGTCACAGGTTCTGAATTACTGCCCCCAAAACTGAATGCTGAGGGTTAATGGGTCCAACTGACAACAGACAATATTTCATAAAAGTTTAATAGCTTCACTGGGAATTTGTGAACACAAGGAAAACTTTAATACAACATTTAAGAGTGGATTTTTATTATTAACTGAACAAAAAAAGAATCTTAAGATTTAGAGGCAAGTTTGGTTTGCAATGATAAATGTAGACAATGCTGCCAAACCACAGAGCATATTGTGTTCTTGGAATCCCCTGGTACAGTTTAAAATTAATTAGAAAACCTTTGCAATGAAGGGGTTTTGATGAGTCGTCTTGTTCTGTCATTGAATTTTGGAAAAATGTAAGAATGCTTTGGTAGTTCAAAAAGCATGAAATGCTAAGAGATCTGTCAAGTTAACTTGATTTATAGAGATGCGCCGATAGATCGGAAACACCTCGTTTTCAGAGTGATCAGCCTTGATCTAATCGGCAAAGAACTAGGAAGCTCAGAGTGATTGGCTGGTCTCTGATTTCCGATTCTGTGCCAGTCAGATTTAGAAGCACGACAGTCCACATCACTCACGCAGTGGCACAGACCAAAAGCATAACGTGTGAAGCATGCAGCATCTTGTGCACGTTTCTGTTACTGGGCGCATGTTCATTCGCACATGGGAAGGGCTTGGTGGACAAAAACACACAGATGAGCTACAGAAACACCTTGGAGGAGGGAAAACTACGTCCAACAAACAGCGCACAACGAGGGAGCTACTGGCTACACATGAAATGCATGTATATGTACAGCGTATCCAACCTGTTGTAAAATGGCAAATATGAACTACACACGCTTCAAAAAAAAACTGTTTGCTCAGTAGTAACAGACATTCTTCTGTTTCTGTGACCTGTTGCACCTGCTCATATTTGGAGGAGTACAAATATTGCACTTGTTTACACCTTTAATACAGTATTTTATTGTTAATACAATCAAATTTTTCATGAAAGAAAAGTTACAAAAATGTCTAAGCTGTCAACTATAGTTCTCAGAAAGAAAATCGCAATCGGCCGGTCAGACCTAAAATTGGAACTGACTGAGAAACTTGCAATCGGTGAATCTCTGATAATTTCAGATAATAGGAAAAAGGCTTAATGGATAATTAAGAAACCCTCACAGCATCCACCACTCCTCAGTATGAAAAACAGGTGTTCTCCCACACAACAGTAGCTGCTGCTCATAACCTCTTCAGAATCCTTGAATGTTTTCTAGCTGACCAGCCTTTATCATCCATTTGTCAAGTCACTTGCAAGGTGGACACACAGAACAAGTACTTAACTACTGCGGTTATATTGTGGTGTATTTGTCCAGCTCGTACAGTGAAAAACGGTGCGTAAAGAGTGAGAGCAGTTACACTGGATGCATGCTAACACTTGCTGATGAACGAGCAGTGACAGGTGGTGATGGAGCCTCGCCGTTAGAAAAGCACAACCAGATGTTATTTCTAAAAGGGATCATCTGCTTATTACTGCGACATCCAACAGGAATACCTGGCCACTGCGATATTTAGCATGGCGGGTGGCTCTGAGTGAGGTGTGACTTTGTGCTGATGGGTAAAAACGGTCTTTTCATTTCAGCTACTGCTGTTCTCAGTCTTTCTTTTTTTTTTTTTTTTTTTTAAATCCGGATGCTGTGATTGAGTATAATTTTGACGAGTAGGGGAAAAATGGCAAATAGCATTTGGTTTGAGCTGGCTTGTGTTTGTCATTACTCAGTGGGGCAGTGCTCTTGTGTGGGCTGTAAATTGGCAATCAGCCTGTCACATTACCATTCAAATGGTCAGTGAGGAGGTCACAGACTCTCATTTGTAGTTATTATCTTATACTCTTAAAGATCATGTACTGTGTTTTTGTGAGAACACACACACACACACACACACACACACACACACACACACTTTGTGATTTGTATGTTTAATATAGTGTTTCAGTGCAGCACACGAGCTATTTAATGAAGCCCTCCTTTGCAGCAGTACAGTACAGCAGGGGAGCAGAGGAGGAGTACACCAGGATCCATGAGAGATGGTTAAAATGAGACAGGGCAAACATAAGAGTAAAGAGGAGAGTCAGAGTGCATGTGGAAATAAGAGGGGGAGACAATGACGGCAGCTTTTGCCATGAATATGTACCTCTTACCAACCAAGCATAATTCAGCCTCTACCTTCAGTGGCTGCACAGCTGTAGGGGAACAGCATTTATTATCAGCTCCTTTTTTTTAATATGGGCCAAGCCTTCTGATTGCTGTGTTCACCATGCTGATTTAGGTCAGTGTTTTATATGTTAATGTGAAACCTATCAACTTATTAACTCATCCCGTTGCCACCAATATGGTTTAATTACTGTGTTCTGAGGACTATAGCAAATTTGCCTACAAGCTTTTTAAAGTGTAGCTCTTTGGCAGTGGATTTGTTTTATACTGTAACTGACTTCTCTCAGGCATCTTTCCAGCATCACTTAAAACCACACTTATCCAGGCCCCTTCTGAAAAAAGTAAACCTAGACGCTTCAATATAAAATGAACTATACAAATGAACTTGCCTTGCATTTCTTTCATTTTTAGCTGCATTTTGTGACAAGCAATTGTAAATTTCCTAGCGCCATACAGTAGCCTGCACTGTTAACCCAGCTTCTTTAGCTTTTTTTTAATTTGAAATCTAAGGACACATCCTTGATTGGTGTCGTGCAGTCCTGTCGAAAGAACAGCTGTTTGCATGAATCTTTAATGTATGGCCAAGCTGGCATGCCATTGAAGCAGATGAGAATGTGGAGGATTGCCTGATTTAAGCTGTCTCAAGTCCTTGCAGTTCAGAATGTCAAACGTCTCGTTCACCGGAGCGCGCCACTTAAAAATGTTAAAGGTTAGAAAATTAAAGGTAGAAAAATGAAGCCGCCGCAGCAGGTTTGTCCAGTTTGTTCAGCTGTTGAGAGCTTTCAATGGCACCGAAATCTGATGAAAGTGCAGAAACAGCTTTATGAAGTGTAGAAATACAAATCACTACAAAACCTATATCAATGTTAATATTTCAGTATTACTCCTAATGTTAGGCTTTTCCAGTACTGATGTATTGGCAATGCAAAATTCTTCCTCATAAAGTATTCACAATGTCATCTGCCTCCTTTAATTAAGTAAAATATTTCATATAAGTACAGCGTGTTTAGCCCAAATTGTCTTGTTATTGGTACAAAAGCATCAGACAGCCAAGACTCACTCAAGATTGAAATAAGTGAAATGTATGCTACAGTAAGTCACATACAAAATAAACTGGTATAACACCCAACATAACTAAATTAAAAAACACGATTGCTAATTTGCTGATTAGTTAATTTTTAACTACAGTTTTGTTTGGAATAAAAGAAATTTGCACAAGAACATTAAAATAACAACAAATGATAATATCACAATACGCATCCACTGAAAAACAATCTGATTTTTGATTTTCAGCAACAGGTAAACACTGAAATATTATATTGGTGAATTTCTACTAACAATATGAGAAAGCCATGTTCGGCTGCAGTGATGGCCGATATCTCAGAGCTACCCACTCATGTTGAGGTGATGAATTGACTTCAACTGGGTGCTGTCCAATAATCACAGAGGCTGGCTGACCAAGTGAAATGCTGCAGCATATTGAAGGAGAGTCTCACACACACACAGACAACCCACACACTATCTGTTGCCATATTATAGTCTCAATTTAGGAGGAAATTTAGAGGTCCTTCTAGGTTTGGGCTCAGGTCTCAGCTTCCTTTTTTCTCCCCCTGTTCTAATACTTTGGTGAAATAAGATAAAAAGTAAACACCATCAGCTGGATATGCTGCCCTGGATAGAAGAGCAATGTGACCATCAATATGGCTGCAGGTTTACAATTGTTGTGCTTGGTGACTGCTGTCTGTATCACACAAGTGTGAAAAGCAATAACACCATCAAAGTGCAACTGTTGGCGGTCAATATTTTCTCTCTCTGATAAACCCTCTGGGCAGGAGCGTTCCTTCATCTAGCCAACACAAACACAGCTTTGCAGTTTCAATCTGTCACAGTGTGTGAATATGGAGGCAGAAAGGGGGTGAAAAATTACAAATAAAGATCATTGTCTTGCCACTCTGCCTTCTACGTTTCACAGAGAAATGATCCAATCATGAAGTTAATGGATTGCCTGAGATATAGTCACACTCCTCACCAGTACCAACAGGGTTAAAAATGACTCCCTGCTAAACTCAAATTAGTTTTCATGGCTGTTCAGCTGCGATTTTGATTTGGTTTACCTTTTCTAATGTTAAGTCTCTACGGGAGAATGTTTTATGAAAAAGGTATTTGAGGCAAATACTCTTGAACACAATGAGCCCAGTGTAACATTCTTCACATGCAGAAGCGAAAAGAAGAGAGACAAAGATTACCTTGTAAAACTCAGATGATTTTGTGGGAGAAAGTCTGCGGCTCGATCTGGACGGGATACGTGAACAGGTCTGCCTCAGCTGTATGTGGGAAGCACAAAGAGCCGACATGCAAAGGTTATTTTTATGATGTTAATCATCATTTACAGCATTAACCATAACCGTATCAAATGGAACTGATAGCCCATATCGTCCATGGGAGGCATGAGATTTACAAAGTTTGCACACATACTGTACTAACTTATAGCACCCACGTTGCACTCATACACAACCCACACAAACACGCAGTAAACAAGCCTCCAATTCCCAAGGCAGCTGTAAACTCGGCAGACTCTGCTATCCAGTAGCTTACTTTTGAAGATGAATCTCCAGAGCCTCCCTAAGGAAAACAGTGCATTGCCAGGGATATCCAGGAACGTTAACTGTCGGCATTTCTCTCCACACTCAGACACTGACGGCTGTGATGGGACGGCGCGGCGCCCCCACACTGAGGCAGGGTAATTGGCTAGAGATGATGGGCCATAAACATACATCACAGGAGCATCGAAGCGACAAGCAGACAGCTAACTAAGGCTCTCTTTCTGCAGCGTGGATCTTGTTTGTCATATGCACACAGATGCAACCACGTGTATACACACACACACACACACACACACACACACTCTCCTCATTGTCTTTCCTGGATATTCATGCTCTTTGAACACATGGGCTGGGCCACCATTATTACAAGAGGGTGAGAGAAAAACCCAGACACTCCCTTCAATCCATCATCATAAAGCCACAGCGACGCACTCTGTATATTCTGCACTGACCTTTTTGCCATTTCCTTGGCATCATGACCGTAACCCAGAAGAGGCACTCTCCTGCCATTATCATCCAGTGATATATAATAGGCACTAGCCATTCAAAATGCATCATCACCATAACAGATGGGATGCCCTCTCCCTCACCATTACTACCAACACACAGTGGTGGATAATAGGCTATCCATTCCTGCGGTGCTATCGCCACCGTGCAGACTTTCCTTCCATTACCATAACACTTCTGTTATAATAAGCAGGAAGAGCCTACCAGTCATGACCACAGCTCTCCGAGAGGAGGTCAGTCATGTCAGGCTGTTTGCTCACATGCTGGTAATTGGGAGAAATAAGTTCGGGGCGAGGAAATAACACTGGAGCTTGCCTTTCTTCTCAGGGCTTTGCTGTGCGAGGCAGCATTTTCCTCTGATGCAGTAGTGCTGCCGAGCCATTTGACATGTCTTAAAAAAAAATAGCAAGAACATAATAAGTGATATGGGAAACGGTGCCAGTTAATTTGGCTCACACAATAGTGGCTGATTGCACAGTCTCATGATGCTCTATTGTAATGGCCATTTCCTCAGATACAGTATGCCTGATTCTGCATTCTCTAATATCGTGACATGGGATGAGGATTTCACCAGTAAAATCCTCTTGATTCATCTAATCCTCCTTTTTCCTGGCTTTCCAGATTTACTTTGACATGTCTTGCTTGCATGGCCACTTTTCTTTTTTTTTTCCAGAGACTACTCATGACCTAAAGATCACTCTCTCAGCAGACTGGAACTTCAAGGGGAAGAGTAAAACTGTTGACAGGGGGTGGGAGAGACAAGGAGGGGTCCAGGCAATGTGCTCATTATTCAGGAAGACACTTGAGGCCACAGGAAATAGCACACTTCATTTTTCTTGTCAAACTCCGGCTGGCTAAATGGCAGGTTCACAGCAAGTGGGTGAGACAAACGTACGGTGTGGCCGGGCCGAGATATGGAAGGATAGCTGGTCAAGAAGGAGGGCCATCATCACTGGGGCAGCTACCCTACATTCTTCTCAAAGGCAGATTGTGTTACAGCGGCAAATAAATATGTCTCCTCTTATACAGTAGTACAGCTAGCTTTCAGAAGAAAATGAAATATGGTCTCAATTATACTCTAGCTGTAGAGAGGCACAGATGTTCCTATTGTTTCCTCCCCTTCCACATCCTCCTAAACCTTCCCTCATTATTGCCTTCATTACCAGTGCCATCGATATGGCAGGCGGCTGCCAGAAAACGTGCATGTATCCACAACTCATCACCCAAACACCAATTAATCATCCGCCCATGAATTACACAACATACCTTGCACTGATTTTGAACACAGTGACACTTTTCCTATTTCATTTCTACACAAGCAGCTTCTTCAACTGAGGGTATAGCAAGCTGCAGGCCATGCAGAGCATTCTGCTCCTGCTCTATATATTTACTGGACTGGAACTGTGTTTTGATCAGAGAGATGATGGGGCAGGTGTTTTGGTGCAGCTTCATGTCAGCGAGAAGCCTCATTCTATCGCATTCCAGTCTCCAGGCATGGCAGTGGGCTGTGGTGTCAGACAGCCTATTTTGTTCGACTCCTAATTGGGGTAATTTATTGTCCTAACAGGCAGAACAGCTGTGGCTTTACAGCGCAGCACCAATTAAATCCAGAAGCTGGAATGAAAAGATGAGGCTGAACGTGACTTGGGGACCAATCACTAATATTAACTTCGATCTCTGTGAGATGAATATGACGAGCTGTGATGACGGATTCTCCTCAATGAATTGCTTTCCCTCTGGTAGTGAAAATATGCAATTTTTGTGAGGATTCCTGAAAACACCCGCAACCAGATCGCAGGCAGACGTTATGCATCATTTCTAATAATGGATGCAATTACCTGCCAGATTAAACAGTGAAAAAATAATCTGTGGGGACACCTGACAGTTTGGTGCTACTACTACAAATGCAGTGCACTCCATAATTACAATAAGCTACCAGACTCTGAAATCTTGTTCTAGTTTCACTACTGTTACAGAAGTTTTTCCCCAAAAAGTGGCTCTGACGGCAGATCTGGTGAATATGAGTGGAAGATCTGGGGAATACGGGGAGCAACAGAAATCGGGTCGCTGCGAAGATTTCTCCAGGGCAAGGCTAACCCCGCCATGCTGTACTCTTTAGATGAAGAGCCCCGGAGACAGACATAGATGCAAGTAACACAGAGGATGGAGGAGGTGCGAGGTAAGAGAAACTGTAGATACACAATGACTCTTTCAAAGTGAAAACTGGGGGACTAATGAGATGGTCCTGGCAAGGTTCTCCTCCTTTTGCTCATTTGTTTTCTTTGAGGTTTTAATGAAGTGTCTGTCTGAGCTGCCGCTGTTTACTCTGAATGGATGGTGACTGTTGATGTAATGCGTACACTCTGCAACAGGCCAGACATCTTAATGACTTGCATGTTGGATTTTTTTCCTATACCACAACATGTTGAATGTGCTGCCTTTTTCATTTAATTCATTAAGTGCTGTTAATGTGTAGCAACTGAGTGAAGCAGAAAATACTAAAGAGTATCGTCCCCAGTTGCTTCTGCTTTAAGACAGAAATTAGCTGAATAAATTAAATCTCTTATGAATCTGTATGAGTTTAAAAACCTGGCTGAGGTGTGAGGTGAAGTTTACTCGAATGAGAGTGATGAACAAAACTACAGCAGCTTGTTTACTTACTGTAGTTAACTGCTATAACAAGTCATTTAAGATGTTTTACTTTTATGGCTGAAAATTAAGCATGAATCAGTTTGTAGCCAGTTTCAGACAAATAATGCTCACACAGTATATAAACAGAGCAGATAACCTTTAGCTTGCTGTAATATTAAACACAGACTGCAAAGTAAATCAGCACTGTCCAGCAAGCTAACAAATACTGTCTACGAGCCTGTTTTTAAACTTGATAATGAACACTGTGGGTCACAATCCCTGTAATTACAAGACTGAAAAATATTAATGTGCCTAACTTTACTGCAGAGTATTCAACATGGTCCAACAGCACAAAGAACTGTCACTGTAGTCTTTAATTGGGTTTATTGGTCTTACAGTACCAACTTTACAAGTTATGTGTTTCATGAACACCATTTCCCAGAAGCCCAATCCCATTGCGGCTGAAACATCACCAGCTGATGCTGGTTAACTGGCAGGAGAACTGAACCAAAGGTCCCAAGTCGAGAGATGGCTGTACTTATGTTTTTTACAACTTGAAAAGTTGAGAGAGGTGAGACTAATGCCAGAAACACACGGTTAACGTTGTGCTACTTGGACCGCCAAAGTCCAGCAGAGTCCAGTAAATAATATGTGTACCACCGTGCTGTGGCGTGATCACAGGAACTGTAGTTTCTCAGGTGCTGAAAAAAATTTGTCAACTTTCAGTAGTAAGTGTTGTGGTTGGTGGCTTGTTTTCAAATAGAAATCCTGAGGAATGTGCTTAGTTTTCTTACAATGACTGATGGAAAAATGCTAAACGAGAGATAGCATAGAGTCATTGAAGCTAGTGGAAGAGAGGCTAGCCAGGTGTGATGACATGACTTCAGGTCTCTGTACAGATATGAATAAAAAATAAATACAAGTCAGATTCCACATTAGCTACTCAAGATAGTGCAAGTCTAAACATTGGAGAATATACTCGTGACACTGTGTACAAAGTGCATACAGTACATGATGCATTATTTCCTTCTAGGCCTGGGACAGATCTTTTTTACAAAATACTGAGGAGGTAAAGAGGTTGTGTGATTTAGACACAACAGCAGCAGGATCATATTTACACTTGGCATCAGTGAACCACATGACACCTTGCTTGAACAATCCCTCCTCTTGAGATGAAAGATGGAAGGAGTTCATGGACTTGTACATCTCTGTAGTACCTTCCTTTATTAGAATTCACTCTCGTCTGAATCCCATTTCTTTCCTAAGCGTACTGTAGAGGTGAAGATAATACCTGTTTGCTGTATCCTTGACAAAAATGGCTTTGCTCCATCTTCGTTGTAACCTCTTTTTCCGCCCACTCACTTTCTCAGGAGTCGAAACTGTTTGAGAGCAAAGAGCTGTAAGCTGCCCGGTCGCATGGCAGGAAACCTCAGTGCTTTGAGGATAAAGAGCTCTGACCCAATTAGCGAGGTTTGTTAAATAAAACTCCACTAGTCCTCATTTAAACATATAAACACCCGCCTGCCACTGCTCCTCCCCTGCTTGTGTTTTTATAGTACAAAGTGATTTCAGATTTAATTGGCTGAGGACCTTGCTTCAGGGAGACTCCTAAATCTATATTGATATTTCTGCAGAGTTTGGAGATGAACACTGTGGCTCCGTCATGATGAGCTATTAGGGAGGCTGCAGAAAAATATAATGAATAGATGATTTGCAACTTCTACTTGTTTACTTTTTCTGCTGGGGCTGATGGTGATGCTGAGAATTATGCGGAGAAGAAGGAGCTGATCAATGCTGTCTCACAGCTAGAGCCTTGGAATTACCAGGCTTGCTGTCAAGAGCAGCTTGTCTGGCTTTGACTTGTGATGCACTTCTAGTATTAAGGTTAGGGTTGGGTGAACTACTAAAAAGTTACAAGATGAACATGTTAATGGAGGCAAAGTGTCCTGCGTGGAAACTGTACAACTTACTTACCCATATGTGGAAGATAAACACCCACACAGTACTGTAATTCCTAGGAACAGGCTCATACTGTGGCATATGAAGTAAAAAGCAGTTTTCTCTAAACCTCTTAAAGGAATGTTTCCCATAAGAAAATAGTGTTTTGCTTTATTGTAAATTTTAGGCCAATTTTAGAGTTTTGATTCTGGCCTTGTGAAATTTCCACAGATACTTGTCCAAACTTGACGTTATGTGAAGATATTTCCGGTGCACTTAATGGAGTTCGAAAGCAGGAAATGTTCCAAAATCTGTCATGTTTTGGTGTCAAGAGCCACCATTCTGCACCGAGGAACAGTACGTTCTTAGTAAGAAGACAGACTTGCATATACTTTTATCACTAGAGCACTTTCCGTCTTGTTGATGCTATTTTTATTACTTTCTCTGACATCATGCAGGGTGCATCAAGTCCAGCCGAGTTCTCTGAGAGATGTCAAAAATAAGTACAGGGAAATGTAGGAAGTCACTTAAAGCTCTCAATGAATGAATTTTTCATTCATTTCAAATTCAGATTGAAAGCGTTCCCATTACGACAGGGCAAGAGATATCTTAAAGAGCCTAGTGTAAAGCACCAGATTTATCAAGAAAGCTTTCAACAGAATGGCGATAAGAGATTAAATGAAAGCTTTTCAGCTAAGATGTTCCCATGGACGTACATTCTTTTAGTTTTCCTTTTTTAACATCCCATTCTCTTAGGCATGAAAATGTAAAAGCTGTGTGCTGTGGTTTTCTTTTCATCATGATTGTACTGAGCATACAGTACAGCGCTGAATGGCAGACTGGGGGAACTGTGAGGTAACATACTGGAGCCGGAGAGGAAATGAAAATGAGGGTGGAGAGTATGGAGGTGTCAGAGCAGCTTGTCAGACTCCCTGCATGTACTATGAATATTTCACTACTGACACACAGCAGGTTCCCACCACAAACTGCTTGCCTGGAGACAAAGACAAAGAAACAGGGACAAATAGATTCTGTAGATAGATAGAGACAATAGATAGGTAGGTAGGTAGGTAGATAGATAGATCACTCCCCACTGGCCTCACCCACCCCCTTCACCCCACATGTATACATAACTCAGGCTTCATCTCCTAGCTCTAAATTTCACAAGGCAGGGCTGATAGGAGGTGCTCTCCACAGCTGACAGCACTGCCTTCAAGCTACAACAGGGGTTGTCACATCACACCAGCAGGCACCGCCCAGCAAAGACCTCTCTCAAACACCCGACACGCCCACTCATGCCAATTGGATGCAACCTATACATTCACACATGGGCAAAACATGATGAAAAGAGCACACCCCACCAATGTCGGTAGGCCTTTTGGGGTCCATGGATGTCTATTAAGATTGATATTTTTCATTCTGTACCAGACACCAGCACACTGACATTGCCATCCCTTGAGCTACACTACTAGTCATCACCTGTTGTAAAGTTTTTCTGGGCAGCTTTGGAGATTCTTGCCCAACAAGCTTGGTGTTTTTGCCAGTGCTGCTGGTAGAGCAGACAGTGTTATCTATTACAGAGATTACAGAGGAAACCAGCACATTTATCTGAGAGCTTGCCACTAATTCCCTATTCAGCTTAGACACACACACAAACGCACAGTGTACACTGGCCCAAACTGCAACGTGTCTCTGCTCAGTGAAACCCCAACTGCCAACATAATTGTGCTCCAGTAATTGGATAAGTCCACCTCTCTGGGGAGAAGGAGTCATAAGTAAATTCTGTACCCATTTCTATATGTCCTCTTCTTGCCTCCAACATGATTGTTTTAAAATGCAGGCCAACAGCAAGCAATTGACTGTCAGTAGCATGTATTGCAGCATTTCAACCCTGTCTCACAGCAAAATGTATAATAGCTATGCTGGTCCGCAATGCAAAACTTACTAGTCTCACAACAACACCATGTGAATTGTGACATTGAAGCATTTTACTGGATCAAAAATTGTGACATGGCAAAAACAAAAACAATGGCTGACATTCCTCATACATGGTTAGGTTTAGGCAAAGACCCTGGGTTTGGTTAAAACATTGTCAACGTCACAGAAACTCGGACACGAGACTCAGTCTCCGGTTTTCTGTGTGAAAATTACGTTACGCCCAGCCACCACCTTCTTAGTGTTATAAACATTCTATAGCCCAAAACCATTTGTCTTCAACAGACACTGTTGGCATCCTGATCTGAATTCCAGTCCAGTTGATGGCAGTAATGCACCATGTTGTTGTTTGTCAATCACCATAAAACACCTAGAAGAAGAACATGAGGACACTGGGCTGCAATACAAAAAACCCTGACATGTCACAATTTTACTGCCATTTCTGTGACACTGCTATGTTTTATGCTGTGGACCAACATAGCTATTCTACAATTTCCTGTGAGACTGTGCTGAGTATTTTATTTTACTGGGAGCTCCCATTGAGATCAAGATCTCTTTTTCAAGGGAGACCTGGCCAAGGTAGCAGCCATACAGATTTACAACATATTAAAATTCAACACATACAACATCATATACAAAAAAATCCATTCACAAGATAAAATGGCGGGCTCTCAAGAAAAACTGCTAATGTCTCCTTCACCACATTCTTTATGATGTCCTTAAATTCTTCAGTTGATATAAATGTGTCTAAGGCTGAATCTCAAAGTCCCCCCTAAGGTCTTAAGCCCTGAACCCTCAAAGACTTAACTGACATCACCTGTAAGTGATTGAGCGCCAGAGTCTGCAAGGGCTGGACATTGTATAAATAGGAATGGGACAGCACTTTGTGACTTATCACATCACCTTGACAAGGTCAAAACAAGGCCTGTTGTGGGCTTAAGGCTTCTTATTTTACGTTTTTCATTTGCCTCATGGCAAAGACATTTGAATATTTGAATGCCTGAGTGGATGGAATGGGGAGACCACTGTTAATTACCTAATCAATTTAATATTATTTTTTGTTAAAATGGCATCATTAAGTAAAAAAGAAAAATAACTGTTGATTGAAATAGGTGTGTAATATAGGATGTTTGTGTTTAGTTGATGCTTTTGTCCAAAGAAACCTAAAAAACATTAGAATGTCAATTAACATAAGACTGATTGTTCACTTACTGTTTGTCTTCTTTAATTTTCTTATCTCTGTTTTATGGCATATGTTTACCTTTTGTATGATTCTGGGCTTCCCCGGGGAACCCTGTGTTTCACATCACAACACTCCCTCAGGTAAAGTTGAATGATAATCAAGTAATGCTGATTTATGGAATGTGAGCGTAAAGGGCTTAAGAATGGAGGTGAGCGAGCTCTCATTCACAGCGGAACACCCCTGAACCCTCACTAACTTAGCGGGAATGTGCCTCAAAGTCTGCAACTCTGTGAGCCTGGACATTGAGATTTGGCTTAAGTTTAGATTCTTCTGCAAGTTTTCCACAGATGTGTAAAAGTTTGAGGTACATTAAAAAGCAACCACCTGGAAGAGCACAGCTGGTAACCACCAGAGCGGAGACAGAAAAGGGTGTAAAGATAAGCTGGAAGTTTACCCAGCATCTCTTTCTAGATAAAAATATCCCAATACTGTTGTCTACAAATGATCAGTGATGTCCATCCCACTAAATCATACAGAATGCAGTGTTAAGTGAGATACTTTGCATTTGTAATGAAACACAAGGGACATGAGACACTGAATCAAGGTTCCATAAAGTGGAGGAGGCTGAATGAATACAGTATATACCATCATAATCAATCACAGGCAGAAAGGTAGTTTCCACAAGGTTTTTCTTAGCATCAAAAGTAAAACGAGATCTATTTCTAAAATAAAACCCAGTCTTCACTTGAGCTTCTTAACTAGATTAGCAATTTGTACAATTGTCAAAAGCTTGTCGTCACCTATCATCATCCCCAGATATTTATACAAGGGTGCTCTTTCAGTAGATTAACCATCAGATGAGAGAAAATGACCAAGCAGCTGTGAGCATGCTTTTGAGAGGACCATGAACTTTGTTTTCTGAGCATTAAAAACCAATTTTAAACTCAGCTGAGCCATTTGCAAGAGTAAAATGCAGTCTGAAGCTCTTGCTGTAAATACTCTATTTGTAATAGAGGCTTTTGTTTTGGCAGCTTCATGTTAAACGCTATGTTATGATTTAAAAGGTGCCATGTTGTACTGATCAATGCATCTGGATCAGCTGAGCTGAGGTTCACAGGGGCAACTAAAGTGGTAAATCTGAGCAGAAGCACTTACTTCCACTGCGTATCCTATGGGCCATTATCGGTGGGTGAGCTCACACATCAAAGTGGCAGGGGTCTTCTAGGCTAAAAAGGAATAAGAAACAAAGGACCATTAAATCACTGAGAGCCGCTGCTTCAAGCATCACATGTGGACACACACACACTTAAACAGTGCAGTATAAGGGCTGTGAAGAGAGTTTAGGACCCGAAGAGAAAGACAGAAAGAGGGAGAGAAAGGGAGCGCGACATTGATTTTCTCTGTCTGAAGTGCCAGTTCATCATTCTGTGAGACACACACTATCGATCTCCCGCCTTTAGTTTGTTTGTAATTTTGGGGGCTCAAAACCCTTCACAAAGATGGATCCTCTTATATGCCACTTGCTTCTGAGATGTAGAATAGAGGGATCAAAGGATGTGTGGAGATGACCTCACTTTGCTAGGTGCTCCTCACTCAGTTAGGTATTACAGCTCTGTTTAAAAAGGCAGCTTTGTGGTGGGAATCCAGTCAACTGGGTGCTTATTATAAAAATACAAAGGGCTATAGTCACAGGTTACCTTTCCTGTTTCTACCCTACACTGGTACTCCAGGAGTACTAATGTAGGGTACTTTCATGAATGTCTCACCAGCAGAGACCCTGCCCTCAGGGAAGGGTATATGTTAAAGGTTTGGACATGTTCCCATTCAATTTAATGGGAAAGTGTGTCCAAACCTTTGACTGGTAGGGCAACCATGGCACCCTCTGGTAGAAAGTGATCACAGACCAGCTGGTTTGGTCAACATGAGCGTGCTGTGTGTAGTTTACTAACACTGCATTACTTAACTTGTGAACACTGAAGTTTATCCCTCAGGCGAGTTGCATCCTGCTGCCATTTGCAGCCAGCCAAATGCAGTTTTAACTCAAAATCTCTCAAGACCATTCAAAAAGCTCATTTCTTGTTACGTCTAATGGCTGAAAAAACATCAGATTTGATGTTTTCAAGCAAATTGTGCAGCAATATACATTTGGAATCAGGCCCTGTGTTAGGCTGTAACTCAAATCTTCAGAGTTTTCTGTGTGAAACAAAGTGAACCTTTGGTTTAAACAAGTTCTAGTTGTTATCTTTACAAAATCGGTCTTATTTTTGTTACCCCAAAAAAGTTTTTCTTTGTAAGTGAATTTCAGGCATTTAAAAATAGGTAAGTAGGGATTTGAGTTTTACCTAGTTTGAAGTTTAGTTGTGTGTTATAGGATGATTTTACATGTTTCAGTGAAAACAATACCTCTCTCCCAGTGCAAACAGAGAGGGCTTTCACTGCTAGTCATGTGAGGAGAGGAGCATATTCATCGCAGCTTGTTTTCCACTGCGACCTCCATAGCTTCCAGTAAAATTCTCAACCTGCGAGACAGCCACCCACGTACTGCCTTACCTTAACATCTCATCTGCACTGTATCATACTCTCCGCCTCCCCTCATATTCAGAGCAACAGAACGCTATCACCTCAGAATGCCTTCAGAGATAACAAGAGAATATTTGAAGGTCACATACTATGGCACAGAATACAGCGACTCCAGGAAAACGTCCTTTAACCAGAGATCAATGAGAAAACAAAGCAAACAAACAAACACCCACACTCACTCACAAAAAGGCAAAACGTGTGAACTATTGCAAAGCAAGCCATTGTTCTCACATTTTATTGTTACCTGTTGTTTACATTCAGAATCAAATTAACTTTTTTTTGTAATTAATTTCTGATTCCCAGGCTAATGCACCGCCTTCTCTTACCAACTAGAATAGAAAATAGAATACACCAGCAACATTTCTCATCACACTGTCAGTTCATATGCATCTAATTTTTGTTAGCATGCTAAAATGTTAGCAGATCTGTTTGACTTGCTAAGAAAAGCCAGCTCTGTAAACGTTTACTTTAGCACAATGACAAACATCCACTCTTCACAAAGGCAAAAATATTAGGTAGTACTGTAGTTAACATTGTATTCTTGTCCTCTGCATGTGATTGCATATCAGTGCTTTCTTGTTAAATAACCACCCACTGCTCTGCCCCTGAGATAGAGCTGAAAATCTGCAGCTATTCATAACCTTCAAGACATAGAGTCAGCAGCTGGACCTAGAAAGTAGATTAGCATGGACTGAAGAAAGTGCCGTCATTTATCAGTGGTACACAACCGAACTTTACTGAAATAATACTATCAGGAAATGTTCAATCAGTATCAGAATCATTACTTTGAAGCCCCTCATAGTTGTTGCCTACCACTATATATTTACAATGTCTAACCAAACACCACAGTTTTCATCCATATCCATACACACATTCAACTGGAGACTGGTGTCATCAATCATGTTGCCTATGGATTGGGTGCAGCATGAACCTGCAAATTCCAGGGATTTAGTGGCACAGTTTAAACAGAAGAAAACATCCGTCTGGTAGTTTTTATTGGGCAATATTTCTGTTCTCTGTTTTGGGTTTGTTATCTAGATGCAACATGTAGGTTACTATCGGGTTAGCCCCAGCTTGTGCCTCATGTATTACATGCACTTATACTATTATAATCTTGTGTTAATGTGTAAAATTGAGACTTGCTCACCATTTTAACCATACACCCTCCTTCCATAACAGTCACCACGATTGTGAATGTATTCCCTGAATTGTCGTAGACTGTTCTAACAATGCAGAATCAAAAATGAACCATTCAAATCCAGGAAAAAAATATATAATTTTTGTCACTTTTTTTGGGTAAAACAACTTTTCAGTTAAGCAAAGGTGGCGACAGGAAATGATGCCTCTCGCTTTTTTTTTTTTTGTGAAAGTCACACCCATTATAGTCAATGGTTGAGCCACTTTCACAGAAAACAGAGTGACAACGTAATTTCCTGTCACCATCTTTGTTTATATGACGTATATGGACATAGCCAAGAAACTAACATTATATTTTTCCTGAGCCGGGCGGGATTATTTTGATTCACATTGGTAGAGGAACCTATGAAGGTTTGGGAAGTACCTTCAGAATTTGGGTGAGTGTTGTCAAACAATGGTACAGGGTTTAAACGGTCATCAAGTCTCAATATCACAGGTTAACGGAAGATTACCTCTGTTACTTAAGTGTATGCAGTACGTGAGCGGCACAAGCTGGGGCTACTATTAAATCAACATATCCTCCCAAAACACAATGTCAAAGCTGTGTCTCTTTCATTGCCTCAGTCTTTCTCGACAAAAGCTTCCAAACATAAGAAATTCCTTGTAAATGGGCTCATCAGAAAAATAAAATAATGTACTTGTAAAAGGAATATCTGTCAAATACAGAGGATAAGTGCCAATTGTAAAGAGCCCTGAGGTACCATGTGGAAACTGAGGCAAATGGTTTTGACAGTTTCACTGTAATGAGCCTCCATCCTCACAGTTACAGCAGTGAAATGACTGACAGCCCCAACATTCTGGGTGGAGGTCATCCACGTGAACTGAGTGCCGCATTCTCCAGATGCTCTCGCCATATTTGCTGCCTACAGGCAATCAGTCTGGGGTACTTCTTCATTTCTTTACTCCCCAGGTTTTTAAAATGTCATTTATGTTTAATGGCTGTGCTCATTAGCTGCATCTGAAAAACACACTCTGGTCATTACCGGCTACATTTGCAGTCAGGCTTCATGCCGAATTCTCTTGTTTGAGTCACCTGTCACAGCCCCATTCTTTGGCAGTTCGCACCACAAATGACGCATAGTGCAAATCTTCTAATTATCTCAACTATCTTTATTTGCTTACATTGCTAGTGAAAATGTCTTGACAAGGCTGCTTTATCATTGTAGCGAGCAAGCCAATGTGAAACAGCATCCATCATGTTGAGGCTGTTGAGGCCACTTGGGGCCACACAGGCAGTGGTGTGCTAAGAATTGCACTTTACCTTGGTGTGATCCTCTTGTGTATTGGGAAAGTGAGAGACTATGTGCATGACTGGGACTGTGATCGAGACAATAGCACTCAACTCTATTTCATTATTTACTTATTCCATTGTCAGATATGGACAACTGTTACAAGAAAACTTTGCTTTGCTGGGAAAAGGTGCCCAAAGAAGGACAAAGGGTCAAATAAGAACCAAGAGATCCACTTTTGTCATTGTCACAGAAACGCAGCTTGTTATTTCTAGCCTAATATTTCTAAATAAGTAACTGCTTTGGAATCACAGCAGAACACCTTTTTTTTTTTTTTTTGGATTATGTATATTTCTTTCATGGAGCGATACGTGGCTGTGCAACACCCTGTCCAAGTAACAAATAGAGAGAGTGTGGTGGCTATCCTTTGTCAACTGCTCAGTGTCATTTAATGGCCTGTAAACCCCGTTGCTGGAGAAAGAAGAGGCAATTAGCATACTGAGTGGATTACAAGATTGCTCTGACTCCTGGATTAATGTGTGCACTTAATCTTCTCTTTGCTAAGTGATTCTTCGATGTATAGCTATTCGAGGGGAACACATTTTCTTCCCTTCCAGAACATAAGATGAAAAGGGACTTCTTCCATGTAAGTACAGTTACTTTTTCTGTTGTTTGGCTGAATCATCCAAGGTCAACTTTATTTTTTAACTTGGGACATGGAGGGTGGGGGGTGTTTGTACTGTAAACCTCAACAGCCCATGTTTTCACCCTAATGGGCAGCCTGTGCTTACTTTTTACCCTAATGTCACATTAGAGGAGAACCTAAGTGTCCTCTGGCCTGGCTGAGTGCTCATTAAAAGTTTTCAGACTTGAGGAACTTTTTCATAGTTCTTAGAAGTGTTGGAGGGACTACCCCGTTTTGTGTGTCCACACCGCAAGAACTGAAGATGATCATAGTTCTTAGAACACTGTTTTGAGGGACTTTCACTGCTCTTACTTCAGGGTACTCTCCCAGCACAATAGGAACATGAATGATTTAGCTGACTACTGAGCCAATGCAGCATGGGGAACCACCATTTTAAAAAAGTGAGTGAACCATGTGAATAACAGTGTATAAAAAGTATATTTACATAGACTGTATAAAAAAAGGCAAATGGACCAGCGCTTAAGTCCATAAGTCCAGCAGGGGAATAAAACATTTGAATATAGACTTTTACAAA